GGTTTTACATTATCTAATATGAAGCTTATCTTGAAAAATATTTTCTGTCTAGCACAAAGGCTTAAATTTTCTACAAATATTGTCACTCGTCAGTTCTATTTTGATAATGAGGTAGTAAAATGGTTTTTTACAACTTCCTGTCTTTTTTACCTGCTATCAGCTTCTCTGTATCAGGTAAATGAGTGAACTGTCTTTTGTATTCCTCATTCCTGTCTTTATAGGTGGAACTTGAAATCTGCAACAATAAAAAGATTAAATTTCCATTTAATTATAATCTTCACTAGATTAAGTGAAATGTAGTGTCTTAGAAAATAAATTTAAAATGGGCTGTAAAATAACATGCTTTTTATGCAATATTTTGTATGTTTTTATAAGAAAAACCACATACATAAACATTTCAAAAACCACCAAAAGGAAGCAAAGGAAGCTCCCAGCATACTGGAGTAAGGAGTTCAGCAAATTCTCTCTGCAAAAACAAATATACAGCTGGGAAAAAAACCTCAAAAACATCATCTCAAATTACTGGAAACTGACCAAAGGTATACAATAAACTGAGAAGTATTTGTTCATGAAAATCTACTGAACTTAGGAGCTGCAGAAGTCTGTGGCAGTTTCCTTGGCCAGCTTTCATTACTCTTCCTCCCCCATCGATTAAGTCAACATGACAGTTCTACAGGCCATGAAAACTAGCAGCTATGCTGACAGAGGTGGCTGAGTTGATTCAGCGTGGAGAGCAGAAAAGCTACGCCCAGCAGTAAAAGGGAAAATTCTGAAGTTATCCACGAGAGTGTGAGGTTGCAGTCTCAACTGGGGCAAGAAACAAGCACACTGGCAGATTATCAGGGGACTTAACAAAGAGATCTTGGAGGAGAGATAGCCATAAATGGGCCTGATAAACTTCCCATGTATTCCTGGCTAAACAGAAGCTGCATGCATGTGTAGCAGAGACTAGAGAATTCCCAAACTATCCACAGATTCCTGGCTAGAGACATAAGAAGTTTCCTGAGGGAAAACATAAAAATTGAGACAAACTTGAAAATGTCCTGAACATTGAATGCATTCCCCAACCTATACACAGATCTCTCAGAAGGGAAAAATGGCACTGGCACTATGCACTCGAGGACATTTTCTGACCAATCACTGGCTAACATAAGGGGTGACCACTGGGAAGTCAGCCTTAAAAATAAAAACAATGAGGACAACAACAACAATAAGCTGAGCAGAGACCAGACAAATAGATTTCACAGATTTACTCTAGGCACATTACTAAACAAACAAAAATCGTCAATGACAAGCTTTAGGGGTAGAAAGGATGTGACCAGAATCCATAGTTGCTACAATACATCATCTAAATTGTACAATTCTTAACAAAAATTATGAGACATGCAAAGAAAAAGAAAAATGTGACTCATACTAAAAAAAGAGAAGCAGGCAATAGAGTCTTTCAAGGTCCCGAGATACTAGATTGAGCAGACAAAAACATCAAAGCAGTTAAAAAATATATTAAACAACTGAAGAGAACCATGCTTAAAGAATTAAAGGAAGGGGCACCTGGGTGGCACAGTTGGTTAAGCATGCAACTCTTGGTTTCAGCTCAGGTCATGATCTCAGGGTCCTGGGATCAAGCCCCACATCAGGCTCATGCTCAGCATGGAGTCTGCTTGGGATTCTCTCTCTCCCTCTTCCTCTGCCCCTCCTGCTCATGCTGTCTCTCTCTCTCAAATAAACAAATAAAATCTTAAAAAAAAAAGAATTAAAGGAAAATATGACAATAATGATTCAACAAGTAGAGAATCTCAACAAATACATTTTTTAAATTCTTTTAAGGAAAAAAAGGACATTCTGGAGTTGAAAACTACATTCCACTGAAATAAAAAATTCACAGAGGGGCTCAGAGGGGCTCAACAAAAAATTCAATATGGCAGGGAAAGAATCAGTGAACTTAAAGATAGATTAGCAAAAATTATCTAATTTGAATAGAGATAAAAAAAGACTAGAAAATGAACAGACTCAGAAACCTGTGACATTGAATCAACATTAATTGATTCAAATACAAGAAATGGGAATAACAGAAGGAAAAGGGAGGCAGAAAAACATTTAAAGAAACAATGGTTAAAACTTTCAAAATCTGAGGAAAAACATTAGTCGATAGATCAAAGAAGCTCAATTAACCAAGTAAGATAAAGGAAAGAGATTCTAGGGTGCCTGTGTGTCTCAGTTGGTTACGTGTCTGACTCCTGATTTCAGTTCAGGTCATGATCTCAGGATTGTGAGATGGAGCCCCGAGTTGGGCTCTGCACTCAGCAGGGAGTCTGCTTGAAATTCTCTCTCTCTCCCTGTGCCCCTACCCAACTCATGCATGCTCTCTCTCTCTCTCTAAAATAAATAAATCTTAAAACATATACATGTATAATAAAAAATAGATAAAAATTAAAAATTTTTTTTAAATTAAAAAAATTAAAGAACTATATCATAGTTAAATTATTGAAAGACAAAGGAGAATAAGAAAACAGCAGGAGAATAATGACTCATACATACAGGTAAAAAACCAGTACAATTAATGGCTGACTCCTCATCATAAACAATGCAGACAGCAGACTTGCTTTAAAGAAATTCAAAGGGAAGTCCTTCAGGCTGCAAAGAAATGTTACAGTATGGTAACTCAAATCCACAAGAAGAAATAAAGAGCACCAGAAGTGGAAATATCAAAAGGAATTAAAATGGTATCCTAAAAAACATCTGACACAAGATTATTCTAAAATTTACATGGAAGGGCTCCTTTCATGATAAAAACACTCAGCAAGGCGGCAAGAATATGGAGAAACTGGATCACCCATACATTGTGGTGGGAACATAAAATGGTACAGCCACTCTGGAAAACAGATTGGTGATTTCTTAAAAACTAAATATGCAACTATCAATGACCCAGCAATTGTATTCCTGGGCATTTACCCCTAGAGATGAAAACTTATGTTCACACAAAAACCTGTACATGAATATCTACAGCAGTTTTATCCACCATAACCCCAGACTGGAGGTAGCCCAGATAGTCTTCAATGGATATACGGTTAAAACTGTGGTGCTTCCACACCTTGGAATACTACTGAATACTACTCAGCATTAAAAAGGAATGAACTGGGGTGCTGGGTGGCTCAGTCAGAAAAATGTGTGACTCGTGATCTCTGGGTCATGAGTTCAAGCCCCACACTGGGTATAGAGACTACTTTAAAAAAATATATAATATATATATATATACACACACACACATATATACATTCATACATACATAAACTTTAAAAAGGAATGAACTCTTGGTACACAAAACAAAATAGATGGATTGCCAGGGAACTATGAGTGAAAACTGAAAAGGTTACATACTGTATGATACCATTTATATAATATTCTTGAAATGACATAATTATAAAAATGGAGAACAGGGGCGCCTGGGTGGCTCAGTTGGCTGAGCGACTGCCTTTAGCTCAGGTCATGATCCTGGAGTCCCGGGATCGAGTCCCACATCGGGCTCCCTGCTCAGCAGGGGGTCTGCTTCTCCCTCTGACCCTCTCCCCTC